AATCACATGACACACTATCACACAGAGCATTCCAAATGTGAGAATTTCCCTTGGTTTGAAAACTCGTGGCCGCAAGGCCGAGACAATTTTGTTAAGCCTTAGTTCGTAAAGAGCTGTTGTTCCAAAGACCATATGTCCCTTAAAAAGGCAATGACAAAGCTGATATTTTTCTTCTAGGACAAAGAGAACACTGCCGTTTACAGTCGAACGAGTAGATGGAATGAAACAGATGAACCAGAAGGAGGGAGGTGATGTAAGAGTAAGAAATACCTTTTACATGTACATTGCGACTGATTATTATTTAGATTACAAGAAAATATGACAACTTAGTGCACCATTAATATTCGCGATAATTTTTTCTGAGGACTCCTTTAAAGATGACAAAGTAGCAAGAACATTTGGAGGAACCAAAATTGCTTGCAATTAATTTCTTATTATTTGCCAAACTTAAGTATTCAGTGCTGAGAAGAAAGAAGTGAGAGTGATTCAGAGATGAGAAAAGATCCACGACACGCTTCAGTCGGTGTACTCGTATAGGCTGTTTGCTTCTAGCTTTCTTGCGAGATGATTGTTAATATTCCTCGACGAGACTTCATAAAGGAGCCACAGGTACTTAGAGATTCGTGCTGGCTCCGTTTTACTCGTCCCAGCAAACAAGCGCGTCTATGGTAACGATCTGACGGATAAACCGTCACAAAAGGAACCCGTTGGCTCCTGATCGATCTCAGGATACGTGTTCGTGGTTGGCTTTGTGCATAAACCATTAACACTAATAGCCCTCATTTCAGGACACGCATTTCTCGTCAACTTAAATTTGCTTCTTTTGCACTGATTTGCGAGTATTATTTTTTCAATAGAAATAGATATTGTAAATGAAGTACATAAGCAAGTTTTGGAATTCTTGCATGTTAGGTGTCCATTTAGTCGGTATCGCCGCAGTATGAAATGCTCCTGGCTAAGGTGCATTCACAATTTGCATCAGTTCGAATCTTCTTCTGAAACTGTGCTTAGCTATTTGTCTGCACTTATGTCGGGAGGAGAGGCCGATGTAAAGACACGGTGGCTGCCCTGCACAGTTAGCACTAAAAACTGCAAACACGTGCTACAAGAGAGCTCCCACAATGACTTTGAGCACTGATGTCACGACCATGGGTGAGCCCTGTGCGCACAAAATTATGCTGCGCAAAATCTCCCTGTAAAATGATAAGGTTTTTTCAACGTGCTTGTGCCCCGTTCAGCTACAGTTATATTCAGCTGAGGGGTGGCAACCGGGCTCCGCATGCAGCCGAGCATACTCGACTAGAACACCAAAAAGGACCACGAGCCATCATCTCAACGCCTATCACTTATAAAGAAATATTATAAAGAAAATAACTTATAAAGAAATAATTCCAAATGTTTGAAGGGAAGATTACAAAAATTGATTTACAATGGTACAGAAAATTCACAGATAAATTTTTCTCATCAAATTTACACAAGCAGATATTTTAATTTTTTAAAATCTTGGTCATTTGGAAACCCCATGTTAAATCCACCCGTGGCTTCAAATGTACCAGGAGCATTTTCCGACCTTCACATTTTATATTGTCCCTGATATATTCAACTTCACATCCTCCAGAACGCAGGAATAATCATTCAAGCCAGCTCAGGAAACATAACCACACAGCATTGACAAATATCTACTTGTTGAAAATTGTTAGAACTTCTATTGGGCATTTACAGGAAAAGGTGGTTCATGGTATCAACTGATGTCCCTTCAGTTGCTCTGACCAGAAGGCCCTGAGGTTCGAGTCGCGATGGTGGCAGGGTTTTCAACACTAGCTAGACAGCTAGGTCGAATTCATCTGCTGTCTGGAGGAGAAATATTGCGGCCGGCTACTCTGATCGGTAATTTTCCGTGGTTTCGCCGATCAACACCAGGCGGATGCCAGAGCGGTACTCTAACAAACGGGCTCTAGTTGCGCGCGATTTTGTCTTCCTCTTTCTTACCCCTTACCAGTCGGGAGCTTAGAGCTTGCTCCGGCTGGGGCAGCGTCCCGCTGGTTGGAGATACCTCGTTGGGGAAAACACCGTAAGCCTACGGGCAGGTTGATGCCTGATCTAGCCATCCAGGGAAGGAAGATCTCCGAAAAACATGCACTATACTTATGGGGCTAATGACATTAGCAGTTGACGTGCCGGGAATGACCAATCAATCAATCGACCCAGCTACGCAGGTTGTGCCAAACATCCGCCACCGACGGGTATCTCATTCTACGACGTCCCGGTCACCGACGCGGCCTGATCAACGGATGCTGCCACTGAGTCATCTCAGCTGCACTAAGGACGGACCACGGGTCGAGCGGGCGAGCGAGCAAGCAAGCAGGCGTTCGTGTGGTCGCGCCCCGCCGAGCGGCGAACGTGTCCGGTGGCGCCGCCATCAGATAAGCGGCGAGTGGGGGCGTCGCGGTGGTTTTCCTTGATCGCTTCCCGCGAACACGCATCGCCCGGGCCGGTGGCCGGTGGGCGGGGCCGCGCCGCCGTGCGTCGCGGCGGCCGCCGCTGCCAAAGAGATTGCCTGCAAAGAGATTGCAAAGAGAAAGAGAGAAGCCGATTATATATTGTTATTATTGCCTTAAAAGGCTTTAAAATTAGTGTATTACTATTCTTAGTTGTAAAATGTAGTGTTCTGCCACCAGGTTCTATACCTACTTGCAGAAATAATAAATCTATCTATCTATCTATCTATCTATCTATCTATCTATCTATCTATCTATCTATCTATCTATCTATCTCTCCGCGGAGAACCTGCTCTGCTCGACACGATTACGCTCAGGCGCCCGGTGCACCAAGACGGGCATTGTTGGGAACCAACTTGCGACGAAATGATCTTAAATCAAGAGTTTCGCACATCAAATAGTAGTATTTATGTAGTTGTTATATAATCAAGGTTAGATCTAGATATTTCATATGGGAGAAGACTTTCTTCTCGTGGTTCAAGACAATAATGCATAACATATCGTTGCTGCACAACAAAAGTGGCACATCTCATATATTTTAATTTTGCAGAATGGTTTTATCGTGACTGAAGTCGATTATTACGTCGCCAATAAGAACTTTTTTTCTCAACACAAAGACTATTTTCAAGAAACATTTACTAGTAAAAAATTATATTATTTCATAAACATAATTCTTACCTCACTACAACTGTTTTATTTTTTCAAATATGTTCCGATAATTATGTACCGACAGCATGGCAACAATCTTACATACAATATTGCGAATTATCGTATATAGAAGTGACAATATATAATTTAGTCGAAGAATTTGAAGAAAGGGGAGGGATTATAGTTTTCTCATGATTGAATGCAATCATTCCCAAACTATAGTTTTTCTTTCAGAAAATTCCTTTTTTCTTAACAACTAAAACATGCACATTGATGAAAGAGCAATGAAATTAGAGTTTTTAATAGGTTTTCAATATACACATTACGTTACAAAGGATTAATTAGTTTTAAAAAATTGCAGAAGAACATTCTCTCATGCGTTCATCATGCATTACTTGGGAACAGTACCTTATACTTTTAAAAATTGGCACTGCAAGCCGACCAAATTATGTTTCTGAGGACACAAACTACAAAATAAAATGTTTCTAGATCTTTTGTTACTTTTTTGGAGGGTTAAACTCTTCTGGGTTTTCCCGTTTCGTAGTCCGGTTTGTCATAAACATCTACATCTATACAGAATCTCAAATTCTATTTACAATTATATTGAATATTTGATATTCTTTCCGATTTAAACAAAAGGGTCCAAGGTGTTTTCGTTTAATATTAGCAATATTAAACTCCGAGAACTAGACTTGTGAAGTAATGCAGAGTTCAGAATCTGGTTTTAGTTTAAAGCTATTTTTACATGACATGTAAAATTGCTTTACATTGTAAAGCAATGATTTACGGAGTGTGAAAGCTTCATGTAAATGCACAAATATTAAATAATTGCAAAAAATGAGTTCAAGGTTGGTGAAAAAGTTTAATTAACGTGTATATTTTGCTTTTATTACTAGAAACTTAGGTCATTTTTTTAAACAATTTTCTTGTTAGAAGTCATAATCCCAGCGTGTACCGAATGAATTCGCCCCCAGTATATAATTATATGGATGCAATTTTTATTGTGAAAATGATAAAAACAGTCATAATGAATTGTGTTGAAGACTTCTTAATAAGCTGAAACGTCTCCACGTTTTCAACTGGATTTTAAATTAACATATTTATAAATATCCTTTCCCAAACTCATTTGCAAAAGTCAAGAAACACTGGACTTTGTCAAAATCATCAAAAACACGCTTCACGAACTAGCTTAGTGGAAAAGAGATATCATTTTTCTTTTCTGATTCTACCTAGGAGGCGCTAATTTTAATAAACTGTGAATATGCATTTACGTTCTCGAGGATCAATCGAGGTACTTTATTGTTGTGAGTACTTGTTTTCTAAATAACTTAAAATTAAGTTGGTGTCTAGGCTTCCATTATCTCGAGGCCGCTTCAAATTTACGCGATGTTGCTTGACCGCCACTCGGCAAATTGTTTTCCGGGTAAATCGACCGTGAAAGGTCATATTCACTCGCATTAAATTACAGCTTTCAGCAGTTAACACATAACTGCCAACATACGTAGCTTACGTAAGCGCAGGTGGCGCTGGAACTAAGCGTGAAGAACATTTCAACACACTATTTTCCAATTTCTAAATATGCTGATACATGAAATAAATTGAATCGTTCATCGTAAACTGTGTAAATTGGCGAATAATATAACTCTCTAAAGGGAAGTATTAAGCCTTGCGATGTCGAAACAAAAACAATGCTAGATAGATGTTTGTTCACTTCACTTCATAACAAGTATTCGGTGTTCTGAGCTACCTTTTAACCTAGTGCTAGAATAAGAATATGCGTGATACATGGTATGTAGCTATTTACTGTCAATAAAAGGAAATAATCAAAATTAGTAGTTAATGAAGATTACTTACGTACTGAAGACACAAATAGCGCAAAACACACAGTCACAATTCTTAATATCAATTTGAAAATTAAATTAAAACTATATTGAGAGAGTAACATGACCCACAAATCGAACTGTGGCAGGAACGTGTCTTAAAACACGGAGTAGCGAAGATCAGAGAACTTACATATGGTGGAGTGAACTGCGTAACCCCGTAATGGAACATGTATAACAAGGAAGTTGTGGTTATGTGAACAGACATTTGAAAAATACGTGTAAATTAAGAAGAATTAATTAATGTTTTTAGTTAAGCATTACGTTTAAAGCTAAGCAGTAATTTTGATCATAGTTTATTTTTAAAGTCAATATTTCTACTTTATACTTATACCTATATACATGTCCACAAATTATATAACCGATTACAAAATTATCAATTTTTAAATTACTGGGTATAATTATATTTGTCACAGTTTAAAATTAAAAATGCTTCCTTGATACCATTACGTCATACAATTTTTTTAATTTTGTAGTTTGAAACACGACAAACAGGTATCCTGATGCATCAACTTTTCTTCTGATGTAACCGATATTTCATATAATATAAACAAATAGAAACTTGTGAGGCTATACCAGCACAATTTTCTCGCATTATTGTAACTATTACGGAAAAGTACACTTCTATTTAAACCCGCAAACGTGTTTCCAATCCGTCAAAACATTTTTGTCACAGCTGGAATCCGTGCTCAAGATCACAGATTCCGCGTGCAACCCACTAATCTACTACACCATCCGGCTGTTTGCATACGAATAGCTCCTAAAAAGGAAACTTAATTTTTTCAGTTATCGAGTTTTCACAATTTTAATGAAAATAGAACCTATATCATATTATTATGTGAGCATTGCTCCATTCTAGATTCTTTAAATAGAGAAAAAAATTAGGGCCATTTTTGAAAAAAAGTTTTGTATTTTTTTAATTGTCAATATTTCTTTTAAAATTATGAAAAAACTAGTAATATTTCCCAAAAGTGTTCATGACTTTAATTAAATAACAGAAGAGAACAATATCATTAAGACAAAAATAATATTTTCAACAAAATAGTAGCAAGAGGGGATACAAAGAAATTTGAACATTTGCAATTTCAAGAAAGTAATTTACTACTTAGCAAGAAAGTCCAATTTTGGTACCAGGAAACTAGAAAATACATTTTTCTAATGAAAAATCGAGCCTTTTTTAGTGCTACATATCTCTTTCTATATTCCCTATGCGAGAAAATAAAATATCTCTTGTGATCACATTCACGGCCGTAAGAAATCCCCGTATATTAGATGCATTCATCTAAATCGGCACTCTTTACTTAAAAGTTCCCTCAAAAGACAAGTATCAGTATTTGGTCGGGGTCGTTCCGTTAGGCACAAGGAGAACATAGTAAAAGTGAAACTTCGCAGATTTATTGCTTCTGTAAAGAGCTACATTCTCTTGTTCCAAACAACTGTTGTGAGCTTTTAACACTTGTGCCGCACGTGGTGGTTTCGCAACCGCAATCACTTGAAATATTAAATCACATGAAACAGATACTATAATTTTTTGATTGTATCTTAACCAGCACTTCATGTCGTCACCATTGATTTACATCGAGGAAAATTGTACCTTTCTACATGTAAATCACAATTTTCTGATTCATTTTTGGCATCAAATAAATTATAGTTCCTAAGTTTGTAATATCCAATAAATTAATTGTTTAAAAATCTTTCGCCGTGCTCGCTTTGATTCCAATGCACTAATCCAGACTATGGATAGGAAGATGCTAATTTAATCGTTTCTTTGACAATCACAGAGCTATTTTTTTCAATTTGATATTTATAGCAAAGACTATAATCATAAAGCATTAAAAGTTTTCATTATAACAGTAACGTTATATGAATTTGAATATTTTTTTAAATTATATATTTTCCTTGTTCGACATAAAAATGCCCTTAAAGGGTTTGACGATATATTACATAAATTACATTATTTTTAGGTTATTATAAACATAATTAAACATTAAACATACTTAACAATCTTAGAGGTAGGTACAGGAAGGGGCCTCTTAACAGTTATTTTAATTTTCGTGATTTCTTACTATTGAATAGCTAATCAGTGGAATTAAGGAGGATGTAATAAATCTTTCATATGGCAAGATTTAATTCGGGGTTAGCTGACTGTCCTAATTGGAATGTTTGTGTCGCTGGGCAAGAGGTAAGTGAAAAGTAGAAACTGTTTGATAGTTTATTTATCCATGTTTGAAGGGGTTCAATTGAAAGTTCTCTCTGAATTTGGTTATTTCTAATAAACCATTGAAAATTTGAAACACGTCTAAAGATGTTTTAAAATTTTGAATAACTTCAATTTTGCGAGAGTACGTTTTTGCTGTGCTACCCCATATGGACATATGTGAAGGAAGGGCGGACTATTATTTTGTTTATTGTGATAGCAGTTTCAATTTTGATGGAAAATGTTTTTATTTATAAATGAGTACAGTTGAAATATTTTAATATTTGTTTTTTCGCCATGTGTATTAGATGATCTTTTCAAGTTAACTTTGTATCTACATTTATGCCAAGATATTTAAAAGCAGTAGTTGGAGATAGTCATTGAAATGTGGAGTTATTCTTTTTTTGTGGATTCATATTTTTAATTCGTCTTAATGAAAATATATTTGCTTGACATTTTGTAGGGTTAACATTTATTTGCCAATTGTTAAACCAATTTGTTAGGATTTGTAAATCGTGTTGTAAGTTATTTTGACTTTGTAGATGATCATGATGTGAAGTGTATGAAGTTGTGTCATCAGCAAACAATGCAATTTTTGAAATTATTTGAACCAAATATTTACCAGAAATGTTTGCGATTGTTTTATGTTAGAACAAGTGAAATAATGAAAAAACATTTCCTGCACACTATTCTGACATTCAATGAAACATCAGCATGTCTGGGGTAATAAACGATTACTGCATTGTCAGATATATAACTTTATACAGCATTAATTTAATACATCTTTCCTAATACTTTTTCATCAGCAAAACAAAGTCATATTGTACAAAATATATTTGACTGTATACAACTTTTTTAACACTATAATACAAGTTTATACCAAAATCTCAGCTGTCTGATGTCTCAAGTTTTTTTTCAATGCATATTGAAGACAATTGTCAATAATTAAATTTAATTGTGAAATTTTGGTGTTCAAAAGTGAAATAGAATCACCCGTCTTGGCGAATAATCTCGAGTAAAGTCAATTAGACAATATCCTCATCATTAAACTAACAACTTCATCAGCACTTATTAACAGTGATTTCCTTACAACAATGATAAAAATCAAACTGATTAGTGTTTATAAAATAAAAGAAATCGGATATGCGTAATACTCGTTTGTGACAAAAAATTCAGATACAACAGCGACTGTCTTGCGATTCATTATTTCCTCAATTGTGCATTAAGGTCCATTAAAATTATTAAGAATTGTCTAAAAGACTTGGACCAGCTGCTTGTCTCGATTCTTTGGAGATTAATTGCAGCACTATCTCTCATTATATTTCATTCCTCCCGTGGCGAAAAAAACATGAATTTCCTGCAAATCTCGATTCCAGGTATTTCGTCAGCGACGACTGCGCGCGTCAACCGCGGTTGACGCTAAGTGCTCCCGGCGGACACTCGCTAAATCACTCCGACGTTCCCTGGACACTCTTCCCCACTGCCAGTGGCCGGGCAAAGATTCGTAGAACTCGCGAAATGATAGCAAAGCACTCGAAGGTGATGTATTCTCGACGACAGCTTAATGGGAAATTCTAGGAACTGTGAAACGGGGGAAGTCCTGTTCCGCCAATGCCAAAGAGAAACGTGCGCTCCATTGGGACTTTTTACTTATAGCACTGCTGTCCAACTTCAGTCTTAATATTATTAAACTACCGTATTAAAATATTTAATGTTAAATAGTGAATTTCAAGTAGGAATGTATTTTACTCGTTCTTCATATTTGTTGTAGATTGTTCTTATTATTTCGTACATATTTTTTTCTGAAGTACTAAATAGAGGGATGGAGGGCTTTTCTTTCAAATTGTGTTTACATGCAAGTTGCTTTGATTTGTAAGAATTACAACATGATTTTCTGTGATTGTTCCGTTACAGTAAGTGGATAATATTTGCGAGACAAAAAACGACTGCTTGGTCAAAATTCGCCTTATTATGTAATAAAACTAATTCGAACAAATATATCACTATTGGAGAAAAGCGAGAAACTGAATATTTGATATTTATGTATAACGAATATTTGATTATAGAATCAATGTTACTAAATTTTTAATTAGTATAACCGAGCCCTTTAAAATTAGCGTACGAAGTTGGATGTCTTCTGAAGTTTTCTAAAATTACATATTCTAAGTTCAACGCCCGACAAGGGATGGTTATCGGTTCCGGCTAAATAGAAAAATTGGAAAGTGGTACGTCTTGGATAAGGACTCTCAGAGTCAGGCTGCACTCGAAGATCGTACTCGTTGCAATTTATTTGAGTCGGATGCCGAATCAGTACCTTAAACAATGTGTCACGGATAGCGTGCGATCCTTTCTTGTTTTGTCCTTAGAGCCGGCTGATGGGAAGATTCCCTATATGGCCCATCCACCCCTATATAAAAATATGTTAACGTCGATGTGAAGTCAGAAATTCGAGTGTACTGAGAAAGGGATTAGAAGAAGAAGAAGCAGAAGAAGAAAAGAAAACATAAGTATGTTGGTCAAGATTGATATAAGCTCAAAGATGTGTTGGAACCAAACTGGACATACCCTAGATAGAATGAGTAATAAGATGTACCTCTTCAATAGAGTTCTCGTGTAGCTAAGGTAAAAAATCCGCCCCCGGCGAGTCACAAACTCGTTGGAAGAAAGTCAGATTGCTATTGCTTTTGTAATCTAGCCAGAAGTGCCTGGCTGCCAATATGCTCAACGACTCCGTACCCTACATAGAACGATTGCTATATTTAGATCCACTCATATTCTCAGTCTTCTTAGTACCTACGTTACAGAAAATGTGACATTTTTTCGATAGGTACAATTTTCTCTGGACCCCACAAGGAGTCGATCGTGAATCCCACCACAT